GGTAAAGTCAATATTCAGCAGTCTGTAGGGGAGCTCTCACCCCATCCTCATCTGCCACCCACATAGAACAATAAATCAGAGCCAGCCATCCTGCCTGGCAGAGAATCCCTGAGAGCCAAGCCCTCTGCAGGTCTCAGGATGGTCTTTTGCACTGTCTCCTAAGACAGTGGTAGCAAACCTATAGCACAGGAGCAGCAGCAGGCTTCTGTTACCACCGAAAGCTTGAAAAGTTTACCATCACTGATGTAAAAGAATGTTTTTCTTAAGAAGGTTTCAGAAAACATTTTAGAAAGTTCAGTGTTATGGTTTAGCTTTATAATGTCCCCTAAGTGTCTCGTGTGTTTGGAGAGTGGATCATGGTGGTTCTGGATTCATCAGGGGACAACGATGTGTTTCTAGCTTACTTGCTCTTAGGAAATGGGGCCTGATTAGAGGTAGGTGATTGGGGTGTGGCCCAGAAGGGTCATGCTTGTCCCCTGAGAAAGCTCCACCCTTCTCTTCCACTTCCTAGCTGCCATGGGGTGATCAGTTTTCTTCTGCCATTTCCTTCACTATGCCATTCTGCCTCTGAGCCAAATAACCATGGACTGAACTCCCTGGGAACTGTGAGCCAAAGTAAACCTCTCCTTCTTAGAATATGGGTGTTTAGTCTTATCCAAGGATGAGAAAGAGCCAACTTACACACTGTCAGGAAGGATCCCGCAGAGCTGTAATAAGAGCTCTTCTTTTGCAAACAGACCCATTTCCCAGTAGAATCTCTGGCATGTAAACCAGAGCTGGACTTCACTGTTCCTTAAGGGATCCAATTTATTATTCAGCCTTAGAACCTTAAGCAACCAGTGACCACTATCATCTCCTTCCCAGGCAACTGGTGATCTGTTTTCTGTTACCACAGAGGAGCCTGTGCTTCTCTGAAAGTTCATGTAAAAGGTAATCATAGAGTATATGCTTTGGGGTAGGGTGTCTAGTTTTATCCACTCACAAGTTCAAATGCTACCTGGGTGATTTTTTTTTACCTTATCTCAAAATAACTGTTAGATTCATCCATGTTATTAGATGTACCAAAAGCCTACTTCTTAATGTTTAATAGTAATCTACTGTAATGGATACACTATAATCTGTTTGTCCATTCAACTGCTAACATAAATTTGGGTGATTTCCTGAATTTTTGCTACTATACATGAAGCTGAAAGGAATATTTACCAGTCCATCTTTATGTGTACACAAGCTTTCATTACATATTTTAGAATGAAATCTTCTGCTACATATGTTTTTGAAAATATTATTTTTCCCATTGTGATTGCCTTTTTTAAAATTTTTACTATTGTTTGTTGATTGGTTGGTTTGTTTTTGAAACAGAAACTTGCTTGTGTTTCAGGCTGGCCTCAAACTCATAGTGAGCCTCTTGCCTCAGCCTCCTGAGGGACTGGGTTCCAGGCATGCACTGCCACATTTAGCATCCTTTTTATTTTTATAAAAAAGCCTTTTAAAATGTTAACAGTCTCTAACTTATTGATTCTTTTTTCTTTTGCATCAGCTATTCATGATTTCTCATCTACTTAAGAAATCTTTCTCAGGGCCAGCCAAATAGCTCAGCAGACTCAAGCACCTTCTTAGGCAGGTACAGGGACTGGGGTTCAATCCCCAGTATGGCATGCCACCCCACCCTTGCGGCACTCTGAGACAGTGACTGAGACTAGGCATGATGGCAGACGCATGTAATCCCAGTGCTTGGGAGCGACTTTCAGGAGATATCCTCCTGTTTTCAGTCTGATCTGTGTAGTGAAACCCTGTAGACACTGTACTAAATACATTAAAAAAATTAAAAAAATAAAATAATGTAAAGAAATCTTTCTCAATATCATGATCATCATTTTATCTTTTCTTCTAAAAGTTTTAAAGTTTTACCTCTTGTATTTACATTTATAACCCATATAAAGTTAATTAGTCAACTTTTACACATATGTAAAATTTGTGACATGAAAAGCTCTTCGTAACAAATATTAAATATAAAGCACCCAATGTAGATTTTATATACAGTATAATTATTGCTTGTTATTCAAATAATAAAAATCTATGACCAGAAGAATAGAAAGGAATATTCAGCAATATTTTCACTACTGACTTTAGATAATATTATCATTACTCATTTCTTCTTTCTTTTGCTTTTCTGACTTTCACTTTTTTATAATAAACATCAACTCTAATTATACCAAAATAGACTGGTACCAAATATGGTGGTGCAAGCCTGTAATCCCAGCTGCTCAGGAAGCTAAGGCAGGAGGATCACAAGTTCAAATCCTGCCTGGGTGACTTGTTACCTTATCTCAAAATACCTAAGTAAAAGGGGGTGGGGAAACAGCTTAGTGGTAGAATTCAATCCATAGTATTGCCCCAGAGAGGTGGGTATTGGAATATTGTTTAAAAGTCACTTGAAAGAAACCCTTGATTCTAGGCTGCCTTCCTCTGCTCTCTTGCATAAATGGCCTCTTCAGAGAACAGGAAGGATGAACACAGTAACACATGCCCCCCTGCTCCCAACCACACTCAGTACTACTTAATAGCAGAAAGAAGTAAAACAAAAAATTTCCAGAAGACTTCTCCAAAAAGCAATTACAACACTACCCTAATCAAAGAGAAGAATTCCATCAAAGAAGCCTGGAGGCCCCTGCTTGTCTCCTTTATTCAAAACCCTTTCAAAATCGCTTGGTCAGCTCCAAAATGCTGCAGTCATAGCTGTGTGCACCCAACAGCTTTCCCACTCAGTCTCTGAGACAAGAAAAGCTAATACAATTCTCGCTGATGCATCCACTGTCCTGTCTGGATCCGCTTGCTATGACAACCTAACTCTGGAGTCTTGCATTCAGCAAAGGCCCGGCACCCCTCCTTGGGTCTAAAGTATAGGACTCGTCCCTTGAGCCACTCAGGGCCAGCTGGTCTGGGAGGACGACCTACAGATGTTTTGCAGAAAGATGATTTTGCTGATTTAAGAGTATATTGAAGGCTGATGAGATGGCTCAGTGGTCTAAAGCACCTACTTAGAACAAGCTTAGCAAAGCACAGGGACCGCGGTTCAATCCCCCAGCACCACATGCCAGCCAGCCCCGCCCCCTGGTGGGCTGAGCTGGCCACACACACACATAAATAAATAAAATTTAAAAAAAAAAGAGTATATTGAGTTGCCAACATCAGGGTCTCCCTGATGACAGGGTACCTCTGAAGTATAGATAGCACAGAGAAACAGATGTTTTACCTGGGAAAGTGCCCAAGGCTCTTAGTAGATATCCACAACTGTCTGATAATGGGGACTAAGGAATTCAGCCTTGAGAGGGGGAGGAGAAGGCTTGGACCCACAACTAGAGCAAGCACTACTGCTAGGCCTGCCTGGGCCATGTCACCACACACACCCTGAGAAGCCACCTGAGCTAACGCTGCTTCTGCAGGCTGCTTTTTTCAACCAGTGAGCAGGTCCCACTATCAGAAAGGCAGCTATCTTCTTTGTCCTTCCCAGCTATGAAGCACAGAGAGGCAGCAGACATGAAGCTGCAGTCCTCACAGTAACACTCAAAGGCCTGCTTTCCCAAGAACCACCAAGGCAGAACAATCACACTAGGACGGGGACACAGAATCTGGAGAGTGCTCACTTTTTTTGTGAGGAAGATGCAACCTGAGGGACTTCTGGCTGCCCTCCCCCATATGAAACATATGATAACCGTTATTATCATAATTGTACTCATCTTTCTGCAGATGTTTTTGCAGAAAGATGATTTCCCTGATTTAAGAGTATACTGAGTTGCCAACAATTATTATCATAATTGTTTGGTATCCGCAGTGTGGCAACAGCTGTCACATGACAACACTGCACATTACACATCAGCACCTTGTTAAACTTTCACACAAACACACATAGATAACACCGCAGTGAGTGCTGTCATTACGTTTAAACAGGTGATGAAGCACAATTTCACACCCACAAAGTGACTTGCCAAGGCCACACATAGAGGCTGTGGCCAACAGGGGGACATTGAGCCTGGGGGACCCTCACTATCAAAGGTGCATTCTGAAACATTCTAAATTTTGTCATCATCAGGAGATACAGGAGATGAAGATGACACTTTCTATATAAGCAAAAAAAAAAGTGTTACCAGAGGCTACATTCCAAGGAAAACACCATTTATACCTGGAAGTGTCCAAATACCAATGAAGTTGTTGTCTTGCAAAGAGATTTGAACTTAAGACCAAACTTCTCTTGTATGATATTTCTAGAAAGGTATGTTTTCTGATTTATAGGCATATGCTGTGGACTTTCCATGGTTTACACACACACACACACACACACACACACACACACACACAGGACCAGATAACTGAATAACCTAGAGTACTATTCCCAAGTGTGCTTGGGTATTTGTAACAAAAGAGACCACATTTCCCTCTATTAGAAAAGGCTGAAATCATATGTGGCAGGAGGAATGAGTGGAGATAACAGATGTGTGCACCTGGGGAAACAGCACTGCATTGTCCTCAGTGGCATGACAATGCGGATCCTGGAGACTTTAAGGGTTGAAAGCAGAAAGCGCCTTTGGGCCTGAGTGCCCTGAAGGACTGTCATAGTCAGACTTTCAGGTACAACCAGGAGCTAAAGGCCTAGCCTGTGCTTTCATAGCTATAAGTTTCCTGGATCCTGGGTACACTTAGGGAGAGGAAAGGCCCCAGTAGTGATGAAGAAGGGAATTTTCTGTTCCTCTACTTAAGCCAAGGACTCAGAGTTAAGATGTAAGAGATTTAAAGGCAATTAAAAGTGAGACATATTTCCTAGTCAGTGTTTGAAAAATGAGATGCATGCTATAGCAAGAATATAGGCACCAAACACTACACAAAATCATGGCATAAGCCTCACGCTCTCCCATGCCCAGCACTCCCCAGTCAGAGATGGGGTATCCTCAGATCAGCCAGCTGTACCTCGGCTGCCAGACCCCAGCTCTCACTTCCTGCCTTACCTGGGCAGCAGGTGCTTGCGGCTGACACAGAGAGCTGTCTGGTAGTCTTGGGTCACACACACTTTGTGAGGGCTGCATTTCACCTTCAGGCAGGGGTCCTTCGATGGGTCCAGGGCTGAGGCAGAAGGAAAGAGAAGTAGAGCGTTAGGACCTCCAGGAGAATGTAATTTCTATTGCTACTCAAATAAACAAATGAAAAATAAACCAACTGTATGTTTTCATTTTGTACTGTTTTCTGAGGAAGGCAGTGACTGGAATGGAAATGCAACCCAGGGGACCTCTGTGTCTATCACACAGTCTGGCATCAGGATAGTGATTCTTTTGTGCTTTGAGAGTTTCAGCATTTTCATTTCAGGAAGGGATTGCTTTAAAAAATCCTTTTGAATCTTACATGATCTAAGGACCAAGACCATGCATCTTTCTTTGGTTGTTTACCTGGTGTTGCTTTTTATTATTTCATTCATGTTTAATTTTACTTATTTCTACCACATAAAACTCCTTAAGGACTGTGGTTTTTGCTTCAGTTCAATAAACACTGTCTATGTGCATAAATAACCTATTAAAGTTTTTAGAAAACTTCAGGATGTTCAAGACAGTTTTGTGCCACACAAACACAATGTAACATGGGGAAGAAAAAAGCTTACATATAAATATTTATTGTGCAAGGCAGAATTAGATAAGGGCCATGATGGGCATATAAAATGATAACAGAGCTTGAAAGAAAAATAGAGATCAATTTCTAAGGCGAGGATTAGTGAAGCATTAATATGTGAATTGGATCATGAGGGATAGGTAGGACTGGGAAGAAGCAAAGATAGCAAAGGCAAGCCAGGCAAGATCAACACAAGCAAATGCAGGGAGGCATGTTTGGGCAATCATGAGAAATTCAATCAATTGAGCTTGAACTGTGGGTGGGAATAATGAAAGGAAGGGAGTTGACTCAAGTAACTCCAGCAAAGGTCCCCACAGCCGAAGTGCATCTGCTGAATGCTTTCCAGAGTGGGCTTGGCATCGGGCCCCTGGCTAATCGGCTTTCTGCCTGCAGAGGTACACATGCTCATCATCCACCTAGAAGAGGCCCTGGAGAATTCTCTGCAAAACAAAAGCAGTAGTTCCATCTCCCAGCTCCAAGGCCTAAAGCCCATTAGGTTGTAAATCTTTCATAACTGCTGTCCACAGGCAGGGGAGTGGAGGTTTTCCCATACCATTCCCATACAAACATTTGGTTAAACAAATTGGCATTCTAAGCAGGGCTAGCAAACTGCTCTAAGTAATGCCATCATCTACTCCACCCCTGGGCTTCCAGCTGTCACACAGCATCAGTCCCAATTCTTTACTTTCCATCTAGGCCCCTAATCTGGGCACCATTTTCTTCAGAGGGCTGCTGGGACTATCTCAAAGGTCCTGCATGCAGCATTGCAAGGTGCTTCTGTTGCCTGCACAGCTCAGGGCAGCAGCTTCTCTGCAGGAGCTATGGCAGCTGCAAGTAGGACCTAGGGAACAGTAAGGACAAACACAAAGCCATGATCCTAGTCCCTGGGGAGTAATCTGGCAGAGCCAATTCCCAGCAGATATGCCCTGATGCCTGCAGCTTAGCAGAGAGAAATGGGCTCACATAGTGGGCTCCAGTGGGCCCCAGGGGCAGGGCGCTTGTCCCAGCTCTTAAGCTGAGATCATCCTCTGGAATGCAGTGACAAAGAGATCTGTGTGTGACTTCCAAGTCTCTGAAGCTGGGCCTCCCAGACACCTCTGGCAAGAGCTGTCAGGTTCTGCGTGGAACTCCCTCAGTCCCTGGGGATGTCAATCCAGGCACGAGAAGCCAGGAAGCTGGTGCGGTCTCAGTCAGTTGCCTCCTCATATCTACCTGTCCCTGAGGCTACAGTTCAGCCAGCTCAGACTTACTTTCCAAGCTGTCTCCGAAACCAAGTCAACAATTTAAAAGGATCATCAGGTAACTACTAAGAACAACTATGACTGTCTTTGTACCCTTCTCAAACTTTCACTTGCCACCCACCGACTTCAGGAAATCCAGGACCAGGCAACCTTTCTAAAGTGACCAATTGAGGCATTTTCCCCAATAGGTACCATGTGCTACAAAGATTTTGAGATTTCTATTTAAGGGGATCTCAGAGATGGAGAACAATAGTGGTGCCTAGCATGATTAGTACCAGAATCTGATAAGCTCTGGGGCAGAGCTTGAACTCTTTTTGTATCTGGCACCAAGTTCACAAGTGTGTAGCACTCATGATGCCAGGCAGTTGACCTGAATGAGAAGAGAAATCTCAAGGGAAGTAAGGAGTCAAGCACACACAGAATGAAGAACACAGAAGTCAGGACCAGGGCCACCTGGGACTGAGTCCTGTCGCTGCTGCTCACTATCCCTTCAATATTTTAGTTCCTTCTTCTATAAAATGGTGATAATAACAGTGTTGATTATTGCTAGTTGGGTGTCACAAGCATTACATGAATTCATGATTTTAAGTAATTATAAAAGACCTGGTACATGTCAAGCACCTTGGATGTATTTGTTAAGTTTGTCAGGTTTGTATTTTGCTCCCAGAGTGATTAATAAGCCATCATAATCACAAGAACAATAGTTCTCACTGAGTGCCTCTGACACGCAGTCAGTGAACTAAGCCCTCTAATTGGATTATCACACATAATCCTCACATGAACCAAGGAGATGGCTGCTGTTAAAGTGTCCATTTTTGCAAACATGTCTCAGAGAGAAGATGCTGATGACAGGTGCAGAGGACACCGGAAAGCCTGCTTAGGGAACCCTAACTCCTCAGTCTCAACCACCAGCACTGAGGTCAGCTGGCATCCCTGCTCACCCGGAAAGTGGGTTGTGAGCTATCACTTCATTCCAAGTAGAGCTCACGCTCACAGGTCTCCATGTTCTCAAGATGTCTTCAGGGCAGAATGACATGTAGTGGGCAAAACTAAGGGGAGCAAGTAAAGGTCTGCTGCTGTTGCTGCTGCTGCTGCTGAGGCTCTGACAGCCTATCTTCCAGTGCACTCCCAGGACTGGGTCTCCAGCACCAGCGCCACCCCCAAGGATGGAGGGCCCAGCCCTGGGCAGCCTCATTCCTTGTGCACTCCTGGATGCTGCAAGCCCCCATGTTGTGAGCCATCACCTGGTTTGGTCAGTTCCATGGTCCCAGCATTGGGCATACTGCTACAGACAACCCTCATGAGTGCTAGGATTACACATGTGCTCTAAGTTTGGCTCTCAGGAAGCTAACACTTTCTCTTTTCACCATTGAGGACTAACCCTGTGGCCTTAGCGCTGAGCTACATAGTAAGCTCCTTTTATCCCCTTTCTTTCTTTCTATTTTGAGACAGGGTCTTGCTAAGTTGCCCAGGCTGGCCTTGAACTTTCGATCTTCCTGCATCAGCCTCCCAGAGCACAGGCAGTAGGAGCACGAGATGCCACACTGGCTAAGCTAACACTTTTTTAACAACCATTACCACTGCATTCATTTACAACAAAAAAATATTAATAGAAATTGTCAGTTATTTAACTATGTATACATACTTAGTAATTTGCATATGGCAATCTAGTCTGCTAAAATTAATTACTAGGGTCTGAATACTTCAAACATAGATGTGTATTATTTAGAATAAATGAACTGCATTGGAAAAAAGTAACAAATCAAGCTGTCAGACTGTTTAATTACCAGGATGCATTTTATTTTTGCAAAACAGCATTACTGGGATTGAAGGAGATGAGGAGTGTTTCATTTCCATGTAAGAGCAGCCCTCCCATATATGTTTTCCTAGCAGTTCTGAGCTCAGATTTTACTCTTGAAAGGTTCTTACTACCAGTACTTCTTAGGGCTGTGTGACTCCGCTTTCTACAGGAAATCATAAGAGATCCCAATGAATAATAAGTGGCCTTTGAGAAACCCTTTAATAAGACAGGGAAGTCTGCTCAGGTGAGAAGATCTGAAGGAGATGCGGTGTCAGTGACGGCACTAAGCTGCAGCCTCCCTGTCCAGATGCCAATGGTTTCCTGGAGGCAGCGCTCCAAATTTTAATCTCCTACTCATGCTCATTGACAGGATGGCACAATCTCCAGAAGGTGGGAGAGCCCAGGGCCCCCTTTATGTCTTGCACCTGCAGGCCTCGCGCGGACCTGCACAGCATCCTGTGCCTAATCCAACACAGGTACCCTGAAGCTCAATTTCCCCTTTCCTGCCCATCTTCCCCCAGAAACCAGCAAGATTCAGCTGGCACAGGACAGACATCCTATTTTCTCAGAATAATTTTTACAAAAACTTCTTTCAAAGACAAAAAAAGGCCAAAAATGAATTAATTTAAGGAGAGTTTGCTGAACTGCTGAATGTTGAATTCAAAAGCCAATTAATTACCAGCTCCATCTAAGATTTTTTAAATTAATTTCCTTTTTTTAAGCTCACTGCTTGGTCTCAATTAAGGTACTGATATTTTAATTATCTTAATTGTTTCTGAACTTGTTTTACAGTTCAATGAGTTATTTTTTTAATTAGCTACAATTGATCTTAAAATCTGGAATCAAGCCCTTTCACTGTCCTTGGGCAAATCCTATGGCCTAATTGGCAAAGGGTCCTGACATCTGAAACAGCGAAGCTGGATGCTGTGTGAGAGGTGAGAGGAAGATTCCATTCGGAGGGCTAGCTCCGAGGGTCTCTCAGCCACCTGGGGCACACACACACACACACACACACACACACACACTCACTTGTGTTTTTTCAGTGAGCATGTGCAGAGCACCATTCCCTGTGAGGCATCCCTTACAGGCTCAAGGCCAGAAGCTCTGTTTGTAGGGACTGTGCTGGCCTTCTCATTCTCCAGGGCTCCCATTAAAGTCAGAACTCAGGGGATGCACCTAACTCAGCCATGAGAGGATCAAGTGAAATTTTCTGGAGAGACTGCCTTGAAAAACAGATTCAAATCAGGCAACACTCAGTGGAATAGTGCTTGCTTAGGTAAGCACAGGGGCCAGGGTTCAATCCCTGACTCTGCATGCTACGCCGACCCCACCCCTGGGCACAGTGAGCCAGCAATGGAGTGTGGGTGTGGTGGTGTGCACCTGTAATCTCAGCACTAGGGAGGCAGAAATCAGGAGGATCA